TCGACAAACCTGAATACCACGTCCAAATGTAGTGGAAGCAAACAGCGATAAGGACACTAGTTTTGGCAACCGATTTTTAGAAGCTTAAGCGAGAACGAGTTGTGAATACGTAGTATTCATCAAAACAGTAACATAGCGAGACATGAGTGAATCCAAGATTGGTCATTGGAACGGTAAATCGCATGTATTGCGTGAGAAAAATAGAAAATCAATAGACATCCATTCGTTCGATAAGCGCGGAACGCACATAAGTTCGGTGAGTAATGAGTGAAACCAGTGAAATGTCCCAAGCTAATTAGAGATGACCGTGGGCTATCGACAAATGTAGGCTAGTCTGGTTCCTCAGCGCAGCAAGAACGATTTGAAATTTCAACCATCGACAACTACGGATGCAGACACACCGCCGATGTTTATCACAACACGAGATGCTTGTGTTTCGTGATGTACCCGCAATGTTAACCGGGCTTCATTTATGCGCCCGTTTGCAACCTTATGTGAACGTATGCGCTAACTGGAATGGCTTTCAAAGTGGACAGCTGTGGTCGTCCCCGGGCCCGTCGGCAATTCGGCGCATGATTAAAAGCATACTCTCACCAGAGCTATTGCTGGGAGCGTGGATTTGAGGCGGTGGCAAGTTCTATCACATCTGAGTTAATTCGGAGACGTTTTCTCGTATGAGCTTAATATTTTCCCCTGGGATCCTAAGCAAGCCAAATGTTGGTGAATCAGTGCTCTAACCAGCGGATCGCTGAAGAAAGGATAATTATACTAACAATTTGCAAATATCACACTACACAACTCATCTTCAACGGAGACAGCTGACAGTTGGGCTACCAATTTCAGTGTCTGTTGCAGACATCGTCATGAAATGGATGGGACGAACAGTCACCCATGACAGGACCGCAGAATGTGGATTTGTTACGTGGGAGACAATTGCGTCACCATTCAAAAAATGTGGACTGCCAACTGGAAAAACTGTCGCTGATGACATCCATCCGAAGCGGATGATGACGTCTAATCGGACGTTCTCGTCCTTGAATTGTCAATTGGAAAGTATCAACCGAAATCATCATTCAAACTTTGCGAGGTATAGCTGCATTTCGGTATCCCTCAAGGCGATGGAGCCTGAGCGGTAATTGGACATTGGATCGAAAGTGGACACACGAGAAACTTTGCTTCTATTTCTATTGACCGAATTTCGCAGGACTATCCGAAAACGCACTACAAACGTCACCGAAATAATTGCAAGGATCGAACTGGTACTTGTGTAACCCTCCACTTGTTCCACCTGTGACTAAGTGAATTTCAGGTGCAGCCCACTGAATTATTTAGCTGCAGCGAGTAATCCGAGCATGTTGTTGTATGTGGTGTCGCGACTACCTCAAGTCGGGTTACCTAATTCAGCCTCCAGCAATCAACGCTTGGTGAAATCCAGTGCGGAGTTTGTGGTGTCGCACTTCCTTGCATTTCAGCAACAGTCAATGAAAATCCAGGAACGTTCAGGAAGACGCGTTCAAGGAGAAAATGGATACTCAGGTTTTGTAAAGAAGATGCATATCAGAGTTTTGCTTCCCTGCTCAATAGTCTGCACAGTTTCACTTCGCGTTATCTAATAAACAGTTCCGTGGTGGAGGCCTCCCTCCTTTCAGTGGTAGTTTGCAGTTAGCGAATCTCGTACCAGGGATACTCGCTGTATCTAGGCCATTGATTCATATGGCAAGGGGAACTGACGCTTTAGGTTGATAATTTTTGAAGAGCACTAATAAAATAGACAGGCTTCGGTGAAAATTCTCCTCCCCATCCGTGGAAGTTCACATTAGCACATCATATATGTCGTCATTCAGAGACCAATCATCCACAGGCTTTGCTTGTTTAGGTGATGCACAGATGTGTGAGCACCCCACTGCTGACCTAGTTTCCTCAAAGTTCAGTCATTAGTACTATAGGGTTGTCGTCAG